TGAAAATTGAAAAATATCCTATACCACGTGCTTGAAATTGTTCGCAACAAAAGAATTTAAAGAAAATTAAATGCGGGCCTTGATAAGATGCATATGCATAAGCATACACAGGCAATATAAAGGTGGCTTTTTTCTTAAATATAATAATATAAAAATAATATGAAAAAATGAATTTCTAAAATAAGCAAGTTACTTATGTGATTCAAAGATTTTATGACAACTTCGTCTATGCTTTGAAGAGGTTTTGCTCTATATTTGCGACCACATACGTCGCCAGAGCTAAACGGTCGTTTGAATTATATATATGTAAACTACCGTGCATAAATCAGAGGGACATATATATAACAATTAGTTGAAATATGTTGTATGTGTAGGGAAAACTAGAACGACGCCAACCGCATAAGGGTTTTATAAGTCGAAAAGCATTGAATTGAAAACATCGTAAATGCGAATGATTAGTAATTACTGCAGGTTTGTAATGATGACGATTTGCGTTATATGAGCAGAACGATCCATACATTTTTAAATCGGTACGCAGCAGCTCGCCTGTAATCTTTCTAGAAGATATCATAATTAATTAAAAAAAGAAACTAATAAACTTCCGACTTGTTTCTCTTCGACAGTAAAACTTTGCAAATACTTGCTGGCCCTTTATCTAATCGCTTCCTTGAGTTGATACCAATGTGGCGAACTGCGTTTTTCTTGTGTTTTTTCGCGTTAATATTTCATAAGACGTGTAATCCTTTTTCTGCTGTACTGTTAACAATTTCCGGCAATTTACACTACATAATAATGTGATCAAAAATTTAGATAAATTTTCAAGTTAAACTGCGCAGGTATACCGAATATAAGAAATTTTTTTTTTCTAAATTGGTAGTTCTGTGGCAGACATCTTTCCCAAATTTCACACTTTAAACGTGATCGGTGTTTCAGCTGCGTTTTGTACGACACAAAAATTATTTTTTCTGAATTTTATAATGTGTAACTTTGTGAAGGAAAGGAGGCGAAATGGAATTTCCTGTGCAGAAACGTTTAAGACGTTGCAGAGAGCTTTTGACTTTATCGGAAAAATATGTGTACAAGTGGTATAAGGAGTTCGAAGAAGGCTGAGAACAGGTTGAAGACGAAGAACATCTCGGACGACCGTCAACCATCAACTTTTATGGATAAAGTTTACGGTGGGTTCAATTCTTCAAAGCCGCGGATAAACAATTAGAGATTTTGCTGGAATTTTGTGGGAATATGGACGGTTGGTATTTGAAATTTGAATTTGTTAACAACATTTTAAAAGACACTTTGAGTCTGAAACGTGTCAAACCTCCAAAACAACTCAATTTCTGCCTTATCTCTTCACGAGCACCTTCTTTAACCTCATGCCTTGACGCAATTAAAGAGATACAATGTCAAACGAAGAAAATTATCAATATTAATTTAACCAGAGAATAGATATTCAGACTAAAATATTAAAGCACTAGCATCTAAGGAAGCTCGAAGAGAACTTTGAAGGCCATTCCGGAAATCGGCTATAACAACTGTTTCGAGGATTGGAAAAAACGTTGGCATAAGTGAATAGTATCTGACGGGGGAAATAAATTTGGGATAGTAAATAGATTTAAAAAATATACAATTAAATTGATTTTAATTCTTGATCACTGTATGAGGTTTCTCAAGCGTTTGTCAAAATTACGCTTCAGATTAGAACTTTTAAATGATAGTCAGTCCAACAAACCCGTTATACTAATGAGTGATCATTGAATCTTGTATCTGTTATTTATATTCAATTACATCATTCTTAAAATTATTTCCCCCTAGTGGTCGATTTTTCACTCGACGCCTTATTTAAACCATTTACTTTTTAATTTATACTCTCATTTTCAATTGAACCCTTCTCTTTCATTGGTTTATATCGGACTGATGACGTTTTTATTCCTTCCAAAATTGAAAGTAAATTTTGCTAAATTAAGCATTGTAACCTACATAGGAAATTAAGTTTAGTTTTCTTAAACGTGTACGTGTGTGTTATGCCTCCAAACCATGCATTTCATCATGATGTCTAAAAAGATTTTTGTACTTTGCAAAGTCTTTGATGCATACAACTTATGTGAAAATGCTTTACGCCGCGTTCCGCATAACTAACATTACAAAGGCAAGGACTATTAGCTGCGATGGAATCTGCTACTATAACACTGCAAGAAAGTAAATAAACTGTAAAGAAAAATTTATGAAGAGCAACAACTTCACTACTTCACTTCACTCTTTCAGGTAACCACTAAGTTTATTTTTGAACATCATTTGCGATTATTAGCTGAGAATACTTTACCCAATTTCGTTTATCTATTTACAAACTTACTTACGGTCTCCGTTTTTACGAAACATAGTGTACACATGATGGACGGACAAATGGGTAGACGAAGTTAGCAATGCAGAGACTAAGTCTAGCGCTAAACAAGAATGTGTGTTCTTTACGCTGGTTATGATATCTAGGTGTTGAAAACTGTAGGACAAATCTATAAAGACTGGCTCTTAAGAGAAGCAACACTCTCCCATTAGTAGATTCTGCACGCCCTGCGAAAAAGCGTATATACATGAGAAACTCTGCAAACTATTCTTTTTTCTTCTATGAGATAACTTGTTTTCAACTTGGCTGATATAATATTGCCTGGCTTTAAGAATTAGAATTAGAAGTTTTTCTTGGCCGGCCATTTATCACGTTCAGTAATTTCAAAACATTTCGCAGCATTCTTTTTTAAAGACTGAGTTTGATTGAGGTTGCTTAATTGCTTCCATCAACATATCAACTAAGTAGAAGGTGTTATGAAAGCTATGTGCCTTACGGGCAGCGCATTTATTAAATACATCTCGAAACTCGAAGGAAACACAAATTTCCTACGAGAGATCACAATCAGTTTTAAACATTCGTTTATGAACGCTCGGGAAGCTGTTGAAAAAAGTAAATGCGCTTAAAAAAAGCTTGCTCTAGGCAAACTCTCTCTTTATATTATCAATTGGTTTTAGATTCCTTGCGCTGATTTTAAACATTGGAATTTTAATTGTGCCCCTTTTTTTGGTTGTAGGTTACAAAACTAAGTGATCTGGCGACACGACATGATACGACTTTGCATGGTGTTAGAGAGGTCGCTTGAAATGTCACCTTATTACACTTGTTATATTCCTCAACTTATACCTACGCTTTCTTAAAAGCGAGAGAGATCAATTATTTGATAAACATTGAAAATATTAGTAAGAGAGAGAAGACACAGTTTTTTTTTAGCAATGTGCAGTGCTCGTTACACTTTCTCTTGGGAAATGGATGCCTCAATCTTGGGCCCAATCTTATACGCCAAATATTTTTTGGAGCAATCATAATTTTAAAGCTGGGCAAGGACAAGCGTGAAACATCGTCCTGCTACTACTATTACTGCTATGTGCTTCGCAACAGCGTTTTATAAAGACTAATCGCAGAAATATCTCGATCTAAACCATTTTCAATAGAGATTGTTCTTAAGTCAGAATATTTCAAACTTCTTAAATGAACTCTCGATAAATTGATTCAGAATAGGTTTCTATATCGACCAAGTCTTTCTACCTTTGAATACTTACGCATAAGCCGTGACCCGCGCGCTGTGGATAAGGCATTGTAAAAACAAAGAACTGGCATTCAGATAACACTGTCTTGACATAATCAGAACTATGAATAAATATTTCGTGTATTTCGTCTACAAAAAATATAGAGAGAAAATTTTATTACAAGGTTATCTGCTGTGGACTGAGCTATACGACTTCAGAAATTCTCTTAAGGTACTTTCGCAGAATTTCTAGCTAGTAAATGTTTGAATTCAAGATGACATCTATGCGCCACTTTAATTTTGCACGATACCCTATACCACTCGTCTTACAATGACTATATTAAGTTTGTGCGGTTGTATACAAAAGCCAGAAGAAACTGAGACAGACTGAGCTCTTATTATGTCGATGGATCCAGAAGCGCTTTCTGCATCGACCTAAGCTTCCTTGCCAGCGGAGTCTTGTTATGTTGTTTTCAACATACAGGTTGCCATTTTTGATATATTTTGATGAAATTGGATACACTGACGTGCTTTAGCACGTCGGAGCACTTCTTCGACTGCCTGTTCATATAAAATCGCACTTTGAAAAGTCTAACTCTATTAAGCGATGTGGTGTACCCCGTGGTTTAACTGTTATACAATAAACCAACTGTGGGAAGAAACTCCTCTCAACTAAACAAGTTCTTAGAAAACTTAAGGCTTCACATTGTCAACAAAGTTTAAATTTTACGTTTGCGATGGAATTGATCCCGAAGAGTGAATTGATATAAAGATGTAATGTGACAAATTTCGATTATATTAGCATGTTTTTCCTCCCAAAAAAGTTCGATTTTTGTGGCAAGAGCAGATGAAAAATCGTGTTACTCGGCTTTGCCCGGACACAATGTTTTCACTTATTCCAATATCAAAAGAAATCAAAATATATTTTTTTATATAAATATATATATTTTTTAAGGCAAGGAAAAACGTTATCGGTATAAAATCGGGCAAACGCATTGGTTTCGCGGAATCTCCAAGTTAACTTGAGGAGGTTGACAAGAAGAAATTTGAGATTCACTTAACGGCTTAGTGTTTCTTGAGCTGAGAAAATGAATGAGAAGGATCTTGAGATCCTAATTACTACGTTTTAAATGCAAGTTTTCCAAACATTTAAAAAATCGAATCTATGTTGAGCTTAATAATGAAGGAAATTAATTCAAGATTGCAATAATTCTGTTAGAAAAGAAAAGGGAATCTTGTGGTAAAGGATAGTGTTGTTAAATTAAAAATTGAATAAACACATGAACAGAAAAATAAAAATTAATTGGTTTTTAGTAATTAAAACAAAAGTTTTTCCTTTGTTATAAACTTGGTTTTTTAGTGTATTTTTATGTTTTTATTGGTTTTAAAGGAATTTTTTTTTTTTATTTAACGGTTTCAGAGTAAATAAATAAGTTGCCTTTTTGTTTGCTTTTCGTTTACTGATTTACGAAACTTAGAAACTAATATAACAAATCATGATTAGGGCAAAGAAGAATAAAAAGATAATGACCTTGTTGAAGTTGGGTAAGAAGTAAAACTCATAAAAAATTATTATTAATATAATAATAATGTATTAAGTTGGTATTGTTGTGGGTGGGTGCGTGTGTGTGTACGCCTAACAAACTAAAAATAGAAATATACAGAAGGAATTCTATAAAATAGTTTAACAATCACAATAAAGTTTTCTTCTTTCACTTTTAGTTTAGTTTGATTGGCTTTTACAGCCATAGACTAAAAACCAAAATATAGTTTTTCTTATGCATTAGTTTGTTTTTCTTAAGGAAATGGAATTTAAAAAAAAAATTAATGCTAGGGATTGATAACAATAGTAATTTTACTTTCCAAATAGTTTCTGTTTTGCTTGTAGTAGCTTGTAGTTTATTATTGCTTTACCGTTCGTTACATAGTTGCACGTTTGCTCTCTTCTTCGGCTATATAAACTTTTCTATATACAAATTGCGTTAAATGCGCTTAATGAAAAGATACAAAGCTCCTCGTTTGTCGAATTTTTAATTGAAAGTATTTACAATAGCTTTCCGTTTCAGTTAAGGTATTCCTTTTTATTTTGTATTTAATTTAATATTTTCATTGTTCCAGAAATTATTTACAAAAATCACCTAAACACTAATGATACGTTGTATTCTGTTGCGTTTATTTCCCCTAATTTTTTAAAAGTTTATTTTATTGTTTATTAAAGTTTTGGAAAAGGGGGTACGGGGTAGAGAGGGACACGTTTACTGCCTTTTTACAAGTGAATTGTCTGTTAACCCACGCTATAGTAAATCAATCAATTCAACTCTCACGTCTCTCCATGACTACTGCTGCCACAGACGTTACTACTGTTGTTATTGTTGTTATTTTTATTGTTACCAGTTGGATTATTTGCACCACTCGAGCAAGACGATGAGGAATTCGTGGTGCTAGTCGTATTCTCTAGACCTGAAGTTATCGTTGAACTGGCGCTGTTGTTGTTGGGACTTGAGACTTCTGCCGGGCTAGTGCTCGACAGTTCATTTCTATGTTTAGTCTCGGCTGGCTGCAAACACAGCAAATTGCTGGTATTTGTTTTTTTACGATTCCAACTGAAACTCAAAGCGGTAGCTAGTTTACTGGGCGGTTTTTGAGTGGGCGCCGGTGGGGCAGGTGGTATGGGCGGCATGGCAACGTCATAGTCATGACGCCCTATAGAAGAGGCAGGGGTATGATGACTGTAGCCCGAATCGGAACCAAAACTAGAATCACCGGGCGCGTATATTTGTGTAGAATTCTGATATGTGCCGGCTGACGTATGACGAAAACTGTTTATACTACCACTGCTATACTCGGGCACTATGTAGGCAGGATAAGCTAGAGTTTGTCCTAATCTTTGCTGTAGACTTGATGGCGTACTACAGGATTCATAGTGATAGTTATGATGATAGACTGGCTCGGCGTAGCCATAGGTTGGTTCTACGGTATCTGCCGCCACTCGTCTTCTACGTTCTATGGAACAGGGATTGGTGCGAGCACGCATAGAACTTGCTAGTAAACCATTACTGCCATTCGTTGCATAATAATGTTGAGGATAACGTCCACTGCCCGGATATTGTATTCGTTCGCGGAAAATAGTGGCTACTCCAGAGGTATTTTTTAGCTGAACATTAATCCGATTGCGACGTTCTACTTCACTTTCGATGGTATTGTAGAAATTAGTAGGTGTGTGATCCATTTGACGGTTGTTGTTGAGGTGTACATGATGCAGACTATGATGATGATAGGCTGGAAGTTGCGTTTGAGCGGTATTATAAGCGTGACCGGGTTGGTGTTGCTGCCCGTAACCCAAAGACATTAAATTACTGCTATTATCGTAGAGTTGCTGTATGGGACTTATGTCATTCGGTTCTGTTGTCGAAGTGGAAGTGTTCAAGTTGTCTGGATTTGTCGCTAAGGCCGGGGGTTTCCGTTCATTTTTACTACGTGCTCCGTTATTTAAATTGTGAAATTTACTACGAGCGGTAGTATGTCTTAACATTCCCGTTAACAAGCCGGCAGAACCAGTGCGCACACCGGACGATATGGCCGCGCAAGTGCTACTAGTGGATGCAATACCATTGCTGTTGTTGTTGTTGTGTGAGGAACTTGAAGAGGCGGCGGTGGCAGTAGAAGAATCCTGATTGGAGGATGATGATGACATTACACTGTGCCTTTCAGGAGCGTTGGCATTTGAATTTTGACCTATTTGATCCGTGGCTAGAGCCGGCGCACGTTCATGATAAATAGTGGACGCGTTATTAGCATTTTCTGGGTTATTAACTTTATTGAAAGAACGTTCGCCTGGCAAAGAAAGTTCGTCTTCAGCGAAATCATCATCCGAATGCAAGGGCGGCTCGCTTTCGCCATCCGAATCTCTACTTGGACCCAATTCTTCGTAGACATTATCATTCGAACGGTAAGGATCCGGACCAGGCGAAGAACTTACTAGAAATGGTGGCGAACGTGTCATAGGATAACCGCTTGGATAGTGTATGCTCTTGGCATGCAACATCTGCACAAAAAGGAATAAAAAATGAAAGATTTAAAAGTTAACATTTTCCGTAAACGATATAGTCAATGAAAGGATGTAGGCAAGCACATAAACACTGCATTATCACTACATCTGATATCTGTCAGAAAAATCACAACTTGCTTAATGTAATGGCACTCATAGATGGCACAGAGTATGACTACCGTTCAAAGGGTTATCCATACTTACTTGACAACGCATGTAAATTATTTAATATTTACATTTTCACTATCAGCACATTTCTCTTTGTCGATTCAACACGCATACACATACATCCCAAACATACGCATTCCACTTTCACACGAATGTGACGATGTTTGTTGTTGATGTTGCGATACTGCATAAATGCTAGCAACTTAAAGGTCGTTGGTGAAAAACATGTGTGAGCATGCATAAGAAAAACATATTTTCACTCGATTTTTTATAAGCCATACATAAACCGAAGAGATTTTCGTAAGGAAATATGAAAAAACTCTTCAAAAAAAAAAAAAGAAGAAGAAGACGAAAAGAAAATAAGCAAAAAGGTCATAAAAACCTTTCGTTCATACAATGTTTGGTATGTAAAAAGACTTTCATTTGCATATTAAATGCTTGGTACCAGCAAGAGCACATATATTGAATAAGGAAAACATGTCCGCATGGCCTTGCTGTGTAAATTAAATCCAAATAAATATTAAGCGTAAAAATATGAAGGAGAAAAACGGACAAACCGCTGAAAGAAAAACTCACAACAAGTCAAATGAAATAAATAAATGAATAATAATGGAAGAAAATAAGGTGTCCACCCTTAATGAATTACGCAATTTATAATGAAGAAAAAACAAAAGAAAAATTATATGTTTTACATTTATCTGCGAGAAAATCCTGAAAGATAGGCTTTATTTTCAAGAAAAAAAAAAAAAAAAAGGAAAAAAGAAAACACCTAAGAGATAGACTTTAATATTCACTGTTAAAGGGAAAAGTCGAAAAGTCGGCTTTTGATCAACAAAAACTTCAGCTAGTGAATAAGAAACTGGATTGCAAAATGAATTTAATTCGAAATTCAAGCAAAATACTTAAAATTACTTTTAAGTGTTTTTGAAATCATTGCTTCAAATAAATATGCTTAAAAAGTTTACTTTAAAAATAGAAAGAAATAAAACTTATTTTAGAAAATTCAAAGCACAAATGTTTTTATTTGCAGCAATTCAGTTCGTTTTCTGCTTTGTTTCTTTCATTTCCTTGTTTAAGTAGAGCAACTTAAAGACCAATAGACTAGAAAACTTGAGAATAAATGAAAAAGAAAAATTAAATTGAGTGATGAGTGGGCATTCAGGAAAAGAACTTTTCTCAGATGCTTGCTTCAAGATTTAAAAAATTTAAACAACAAGTAATTGGATATTTTATTATAAGGTAAGCAAGAAATAGTTATATATACAAAAAGCAAAAACAAAAAAAAAGGAAGACAGAATAAAAGGAATCTTTAAAGCGGTAAGAAACAAGAAAAAAAAGAAGGAAGAATATGACAATGACTTGACGCTTAAAAACCTGTAAAAAGCTTACGGAAATACAAATGTCATTATCGTTACGAAACCCTCAACATAATACCTTAATTGAAGAAAGATCTCTTAAATTAAAAGCGTGTGTGCAAGGAACTCAATATCTTTTTAAAGGTTTCCTATTACATTCTAACGCAAACCTGATAGACAATATTAATACCACAAACAGGATGTTGTACATTAATAGCAAACAAAAGACCGCTGATGACAATTTTGCTTCTTACAGCCTGACACTGAATAGACAACATTATCAAGAATACTGACATTTATTTTGACAACAATGTCGTAATGTTTTGAATAGAAGCAAGTTTGTTTTTTCCTTTTTTGTAATTTGGTGCACTTACCTCGGCATTGTGATAATGACGCATTACTAGAGGTCGATGGTGACCTAAGTGAGCGTCTGGATCTTCATAGGTGACAGCCGCATGGCCCGAACCTAAAGTAGCTAGAGCTCCGCTTATATGAGGTCCTCGAGTAGGTGTCTTACATGGCAAGAGATTTTGCACTTTTCGTTTGTTTCTGTAAATAGAAAGCACGAGAAGAACTCATTCGATTAGTTTTAATTTCATTTAAGGAAAGAAATTGCAAAATTAGAAGTGGAACTTAGTTTGTGGCAAGAACCCGGAGGTGCAACTTAATTTGTGGAGAGAGCCCGGAGTTGGAGCTTGACTTGTGGAAAAAACCCAGCAGTAAAATTTCAATTGAGGAATATTTAAACTCTGAACATAAAATGCTTTCGCTTAAAATTGGCTTTTCACAAGCGTCTGAAAATGAAAAAATTTAAACTCTAGCATTTTTTAAATTATTTTGTATAAAGAAATCTTTTGGCTTTTAGATTGTAATGAATCTATGCTACGAGTTGTCTTCATTCGACAATTCACTGTGTGCTGTTAACGAAGAATGAATTGTTTCCGAATTTCAGAGAAGAGTGACCACTGAAGATAAAAAAGATACATAAGTATCGTAATCCTTATAAAAATAACTAATGTCATTGTGCAGGTTAAATAAACATCATTCATAGAAGCTCGTTCACAACTCGTTCTAAACAAGGTTTTCTGGGCGCAATGAAATATGCGTTATTAAATTCCGAGCAGTGTATAGAGATGAGATTTAAAAATTATATTACCAAAAAAGGGCGACTCATTCCTGGATTATTTAATAATACGCAAACGATAAAATGGACAAAGTACCTAGTAATAACGCTGAACTGCTAGGACTTTGGATAAGGCACCACTTTGGTAAACTTCCTTAAGCAATACTTTGTAACAGTTTTCTCGGTTTTTTTCGTCGTCTCCACTGAGCCGAAAACTTAATAAAAATATATTGAAATAAATTCAACAAACGCCTCTGAATCGGGTTAAGTCTGTGCCTTCATCTGTCTGTTTAATAGATTTCCATGTGTTTTCTGCCTGCATAACGCAGATCGTAATTTCCGATATGCTCTGATTAAACTTGGTTTACTGAGCCCCACGGACGAACCTTATTCAAAATGGATTGGATCGAACTACTTCTACAACTATTTCTCACATAACGCGCAATCTTGAAGTCGCAAGCTGTTCACAACACTGTTTTTTTAAATGTTTATGTCGACTACTTTAGCGCACAGTATAAGAGTGGTAATAACTGAATAAGTGGGAGTGCATGGTACATGCCTACCGCAAGCATTTCAACAGCTGCTGCGGGTAAAAAATGCAGACACAGTGAAGGAAAAGAGAGAACCGGCACGAGTGGTAGCTGTGATGCTGCCAATGTTGGTAACATAGCACATCTGCAAACTGAAAAGAGCTATTGTGACACAAAATGTGCTACTCCATCTTATATCGTAACAATTTTCTCGAATTATGAGGTTATAAGTAGGATAGTCGCAAAAATTTTCCGGTAGAATAGATATTCAATGGGTTTTGTCCTTGTAGCAAAACATAGGGTTAGTGCATCCAATTATATGAAAATATCTCGAAAATATCTATCTGAAGTCACATATCTCTACATTGGAAGGACACAGGAAGAAAAAATCGAAAAGTATAATGAAGAGATCTACTTCGCTACGTCGTTGTGTTACCCACATTTGAAAACAAATTAAGGTAAAATATAAAAATTAAAAATATTGCAGCCGCGCGAGACCGAATGTTCAATGCTCTACACCACTTTGAATAATGTAATGTGCTACTATATAGCGATTTTTGAAGGATAACGTTAGATGAGGAGAGATCGTAAGAATGACCCAAATTCATTTCAACAGGATTTATTTTTTGACCAAAACACATCATTGAGATCGTGAAATCTTAAAAGTTGGGTCCTATAGACTGAACATAAAAGTACATTGTCGAATATAAGAAAAAACCGATTGGTACAATAAAAAAGTGGATTTATCTTAGGTTCCTGTTCGTACCAACTTAATATATCGTGTAAGGGAAGCACTTTAGGATATAAAATTTTACGAAAGCAGCAAGTTATCTTTGGTGTCATCACCACTTTTCTTGCAAGGATATCATGTATATATTCAATATTTATATAATTTTATTTATAAAACATTTCACAATGATTACCACGTTTAACTGTGAGTCACAATAAGATAGTTAAGAGATTGGCAGAAGACATAACGGACCGTCAAGAAAAAAACTGAAGTCTATTGCTTACAATAAAAAAAATTACTTAAGAGATTTTATTTGCTCGAAAAAGAAAAAAAATATATAAAGAATGTGCGCCAAGTCAGGAAGATAACTTTGCTCCCGATGTTCAGTGTTCGTCAGATCGTTTAAATTAATGCATTCCTTAAGTTATTTGTTTAAATTTTGTACAGTTTGAAATTTCAAACGTTTTAAGAAGTGTTCTCTATTTCGTAATAATTACATCATCCAAAAATTATGCCAGCAAAGGCAACGAAGAGAAGTAACAACAAACACTTGTTGCTACCAGAAAAGTTGACTTGCCTTGACATTCGCTAATGATTATAAATTTTCAAGAACTGTTTTCTCTTTCCTTCGTTCCAATTTCTTCTTGTTTTAATTTTACTTTTTTAAAATTAGCTTGTTTCTTATTCTGATCATCTTAAAGTCTATGTGACACTAATACTCATAAAATATTAACTTTAAGGCAAATATATTTACAAACACGTGCGCTCTCAAAATACATATGCTTCATGTTTCCTTCCTTTTTTGTTTTCTGCAACACCCTCCGGTGACATAAATAAAGCCCTGCTGCACTGACTTATAATTTATCTGTCAGTTTAGAAAAGCTCAGTCTTTTTCTTTTCCTCTGCTCAAGATATGCAAACATAATAAAAATTTAAATGTGCCAAGATGTGTACTTCACAAAAAGAAAGAAAGTGACTTGACATGAAAAATTATAACAGTCTATGCTTAGTTCTTGCGCGTAAATGTACCCTAAAAGGTAACGTATAGCATAGAATAAATGTTAAAGTGTGACTGACTGACAAAGACGTGGGATAATGACATGTAAAGACAATATTAAAATATACTACAAGAGGCAAATTGTTTCACAAATATTACATAACTTAAGGCAAGCAATTTAAGGTAACGTAGTCCAATTCTATTTAAAAAAATCAAATATTAATTAATCAGCAGGAACTTAAATTGTTTTTATTTGAAATTGTCCCGATTTTTAAATACATTCTGTTAAACTTTGCGATATTTTCTGTTTCTGTTTTTGTAAATTTCCACAATTGTACGCAATAAGAAAGAATGATTTGCTTATAAGTATTTGTGCGTTGGATATGAAAAGTAAAAATGGTTGAATTCCCATGAAAAAAAAACTTGTGTGCTCCACATAAGAAATAACGTTCAGTTTTTCATTGCTGTCAGATATGTTCGCTTAACGCCTTTTACTAGAATTTGATCTACGTAATCTTTAAGCAGCAGCTGATCACCATCACATCGTGATCATGTATTTGAGAGAGAAGAAGAAGAGAAATCCCCTTTTTGCAGCTAGACGGGTTCCCGTTCTTCGCATAATCCTTTGTTGCATGCAGTAAATACAAATGTACGAGAGTAAAAGAGTAGAAGATAGTTTTGGGAGTAATGGTTAACAAAATGACTTAATTGCGGATGAATCTTTTTGTACTTCACAAAGAGAAGTAGCCACGTTTCTACCACAGGAAGTATTTATGATTCCAATTTATTATTTAAAGCTTCGAGTAGAAAATAATTCGTTTTAAGCGCTGTGTAGAAAATTACCCGACAGATATATGGTGCACCCTTTTCATTGCTTAATGATGCAGTATTAACAATTTATTCATTTATACCTTACTATTGAAGGATATTTTGACGAAGGTCACGAACAATCTCTTCGCAAAATTAAAATCCTGAGATCACAGCTTAATAAATACTAGTACATATCTAGCTTGATTAATATAGAAGTCGATATGTAAATTAAAATGAAGTTTGTTATCGAACAACACCCCAAGATCGAGAAAGGCATTGACCTTCGCTAACATATTCAGATGTCAGAAGACTTCTTCTTCGACCACTTACTTAAGTTTACTTGTAAACAGCTTAGAGGGCAATGCTTAAATTACATTACATCATAATAATTTCCGCAATTAAACACAGATACCAATCTACTTCTCTGCTACCAGGCCTACTGGCCAGAACGAGGGTACGGCTGAAATACAAAAAATTCGAACATGAGCAAATGTAAGGCTACGGCAAGTTCTCCAATACAGCTTTTTCATTTAGTACATATAAATACCACGGGCTGTAATAAATAATCGGGCTTAAAGGGATTTAAGGAATCCTATTAAATAAAATTTAAACTTAATCCAGTGCCGTTATTAAATTGAAATCATTTCTGTTATAATTTGTAAATATACTGCAATGAGTTACGTTTACCTAGGTTCTTAAGTGTGTTTATGTGTAACAAGTTCACAAAAAATTTGATTCAGGCTGCAGTGTCTGTTTGCGCTTATACATATGTAGTAAAGTGACCGTCCGGTGTTCTTTTCTCATTGCTAAGGAATTCATCTTACATATGAGTGAAGAAAAAAAAAACATCGAAAACTTCAAATTTTTTAACGGCAGGAAATTAGCTAAAATGGTAGCTAAAATAAAATTTAGGAAGATTTTCGTCCATCTAAAAAGAGTAGATATCACCTATTGTGCGTATTCTCTTTCTACATAAAAATTCTGGTCACCTTAATTCAAATGTGATTGCATGAAACTTTCATTATCATAAAAAAAGCGGTTAAACATATACGTTAACATTTTTCCTTACATGACATGAAGTTCGTTTTTATGTTTACAACTCGAAAGTCGGGTGTGCTGAGCGTTTCGTACTGTTCGTCAACCACAAGAAATCAATTAGGGTCACGCCATAAAGCTTGAGAGGGGTTTTGAGAAAAATATGTGCATTCTTCTTGTCTGTTTGTTTATCCATTAGTTGTTTGACACGCAGCAATCATAAAAGTTGTGCTCCTTTCATGGACCGAACTTCAAAATTAATTAGAGATGCTGATAAATGCCGGCACAAGGGGTGAAAGATTGTAATCACTTTGGAAAAAATTC